ATTAAACTTTCAAATATTTATTTTTTAATTAAATATTTATTGGAAGAAAAATAATTTACTACTTTTGTCCAATTTATTGCTTAATTAAGTGAAAATAAATATTTAAAAAGCTTTCTTCCATTTTATTTTCCGTCTTTTCCTATAAAAATTTTTTAAAAAAGTAAACTTTGTATATATAGTTTATCTAAATGTCGTGTAAAAATCATTATAGGTCAACAACTTGTCATGTTTTTTTTAATATATATTATATTTTTAAATAAAATATTTATATTTATGAACTCGAATATTTAAATCAATAACTTATCCATTTTTTTTTATATAATTCAGATTTTTATTCCTAGTTGCTAGAATGTCTTGTGAAAAACACTTGCTATGACATTTTGGTTTCTACCAATTAATAAAGTTAAAATCAATATTAGATATGATCACTTTAATTAGTAATTCTCTTTTAAATTTGTGTATTTGTTGAAATCCACGTATGCTTTAATTTTGAAAGAGGATAATTTTCTTTCATCTAAATTTTTTGTACCAAAAAAATTATGTTTTAAACTCAAATCCTTTAATCTTATGGTATTGACTTTAAAGCCATAATAATTGTCTCCTCCACCTAAGATGACACTTAAAACAAAAACACAACACTATAATTACTTTGATTAGTACAAAAAAAATAGTCTTTGTCTATATCGTTCATGTCACTTGGACTTAAACAAAGAGCACTACCCCCTTTACTTCCCTTTCTCAATCCTTCAAAGCACTTGGTATGATGGCCTCATGATTGTATTTGCAATTGCAAGTTTGGGTTTTTCTTTTCCCTTTCTTTTACTCTTTGCCTCATAACATTAAGAATCTTGCCAAATAAGGAAAAAGATGAGATTTGCGTGTGATAGAGAGTGATGATGATGTATCTAACTCTTGATTAAAAAGGTCATATTTGGTTGAAAATTTAGTATTTATAGAAAATATTATAGGCAGAAGAAAATTATTAATAATTTAGTATTAGTATTTATTTATTTATTTATTTATTTTTTGCTGTCTCCCTTAAGACCCACAATGATCTCTTCCACGGTCAAACAAGCAAAGTAAAACAAAACAAAACAAACCCATAATTATTCCTTTAAACAACAAAACAAAACAAAAGTCTCTTTAAAACGTTACAACCTATTTTGCGTAAACATTTTTCTTGTGACAGAGGTTTTTCTTACATGCATGATAAGTGTGATTTCTTTCTCCATTTACAACAAAATATGTATAATACCATAATTTAAATTTACTACTACATCAGTACTTGTTTTAGTTAGTCTTAGTTTTAATTTTAATTTTTTTTACTATATGGGGTAAAATTGCAAAATTCGACCTTCAAGTTTGGTGCCTATAGCAAATAGCTCATTGCAATTTAGATTCTTACAATAATATTACACATTGCTAATCAAAATAGGGAGGCATAATTTGGGAGTCATAATTTTTTCGGTTACTTTTTGTTTATTTAAATCATAGGGTTTATTGTTGCAGGTAAAGATGTATCAACTCAACGTAGATATCATGGGGTTTCAATATTATATATAATCTATCCTCCTAACTCATGTTATCCCTCCTACATCATTGATTTGCATGCGAAATATTATCCTTCTAATTCATGCTAATTTTCCTACACACCCTTGTGCTTATTCCCACTTTGTATTGATTAGTCTCAACCTTTTTTATAAAGTAGATTGCAATCTGAAATAGAGAAGAGATTCTCAGCACTGATAATTGAATTTCAAATCTACTGAATGCTATCTTTTAAAGATAATTGTATGAATTAATTAAATAAAATTTTGAATAATTTTGCCGTTAAAGAGAAGTGATAAAACATATATATTATGACTAAACTCTACAAGGAAATTGGCTAGTGGAAACTTATTCACTATTAGTTTTTATAATTAATAAATGATACCAAAGAATTCTGTTCTTTTGTTCACCTAATTTTTGGATCATGAATACAGCTATACAAGTTAAAGAAGAATAATACTATTTTTTTTCTATTGTTAAAGTAAACTAAAATCCACAGATAATTTAGATAAAGAAATTGTTTGTTTAGGTTTATAGAAGCATTTTAATTGGCATGTATATATACTAATTCTCTTGATCTCACCAACTGCAAAATTTAATGGGTTACATTGTGTCCATAGGACAAAAAAAAAAAAAAACTACATAGTTCAATATTTAATTAAAAAAAGAATATTATGGTTCAAAACATCTTAGTTAGTCAGTCACTGTACTTAACATGTGTAATATGCATGATTCAATATTCGCTTTTTATAATAAGATCAAAGCCAATGCATATGGGCAAAATAATTAATCAGTAAATATAAAATACTCAACTTTTTAATGGAAAATATAAAATATTTATGAAAGCATAAAAGTGGGACAATGATTTCAAAAGTCAAAAAGATTGAATAAAAAGGATAATATATAATAACTGTTAATCTTTTATAGGTTTGCTAAATGGACATTGCCTTAGGAAAGTTTACAAAAATAATTAAAGTCACCTAAAAATCAATAAAAAGAAAAGGGAGGCTTAATGACTCACCCCACCAAAAGAAAGTAACAGATTTTTTTTTGTTTATTTTTCTATAAAATGATAAAGAAAAAAAAAGCTACATTAATTAAAATATTTGATTCCCACAATCTAAAAAGAATACTATTTTTAATTGTGAAAAGCCAGTCAAGCAATTGCTTTATTATCATCAATCACTTTCTTAATTAATTTATTATCATTATATCTATTACATTTTAGACCATTAAATTTTAAAAAATATTTTTTTAAAATATTTGAGATCATTAAAAAATTAAATCTTAATTACGAAAATTATGAGCTTCTAAAATTAAAAATTCACATTTCACTGATGTACATATCACACAGATGTTGCTGATATTTATACTTCCAGCTTTCAAGTTTGGTGATGGGTCTAAGTGGTGGGAATCATTCAAAAATTTTAATTTCTTCATGTTTGTAGGGTTTTGCACCAACGTTTACGTAATATTGCAACTTGTTTTTTGGCTGCTTACGAGTTCCATTGCTTTGTCATGTGCATGCAAAGCTTCCATCTCGTAAATGACGAACAAATTGCTTTTGTTTTGCCCCATTAAGATCTATGATACTAAGAAAAATTAATGCACATTTTTGTATATGTATATATCAACCAAAAAGCAGGGCTTTGCAATATTAGTATTACTCAACTGCATCATTTTAGAAAGAAGAGAAAATCTAAAGTTGTAACTTTAAATGAACACAAATTTGGCTTTTGAGTGAGCAACTAGGCCTATTATTCTAGAGGGCATTACATATTTAATTGTACTCCAACTAGAAAAAAAAAAAAAAAACCATCATCAAGAGTAAGAATTTAAGGTATCAACCCCTATTTTCACATCTAAATAATCTTAACATTTTTTCATTTTAGTACATTTAAGAAATTAATTATAGAACAGGCAATTACTGTAAAATTTTGACATGTATTGACCTAAATTGAAGTATAGTGTTAAAATTAAACCACTTGAAGATTTCTTTCTATATATGGAACATGCAATCACTATTAATTTTTTGGCCCAAAAGATAGAAATAATTATTTTTTAATAAAATCATAATTTAATAATAAAAAATGATATTATAAAGTTTAAAATATTGAAATATATTTTATTTAATATTAAAAAAAGAGAAAAATGTACATGCATGGGTGCCAATTTATAAAAAAAATTAACACAACAATGATATTAAAAATGATTAATCATATTCTTAATATGTTTAATTTACAAAGAGAGGCACTTATCCAAGAATAGACAAATCTATCTTTATGTTGGAAAGTTCATCCCTTTTGATCATTACGTGATATTTGGTATCAACATAAAAGTATAAAAAGATGAAATGTATTTTTTTATTTTATTAAATTTATATATAATAATTATTAAAAATTTAAATTATTTTATTTATATTTATATTTATATCATATCATTATATATTTTTTAAATTATTTAATTTAATTGCAATAGTTAGTCTCAACCATAGATGTAACCCTTTTATTTTTTGTTTTTTTTTTTCTCAGAGAAAAGCAAAGGGTTTTGAGAAGGAAGCAAAAGGTTTTGAGAAGGAGACAAACAGATTCTCGTTTTTGTCCAAAGCCCGATGAAAAAGAGAAAGTGAGGCACAGCCAACATGAATACCCGTCAACACATCCAAAAGACAGACAGAGACAAAGACACACTCACCCACACGAGCGGTTCTTCACTTGCATGCAAACCCACTGACTTTTCTCCATTTTTTTTTCTTTCATTTCTTTATTAAATCAGTCCCTTTCCCTGTACTCGGCCCTGACTCCTGAGCCCTCCGGCCCTGGCCTGACCTCATTTTTCTTTGCGGTTTTAAACACCCAAAGATAGGAAGGAAAGAGAAAAGTGAAAGATATCAAGAATCGCGTGGGTTCTCTCTTTTTGTTTTTAAGCTAAAGGTTAAAAAAATTCCGAATTATAATTAAAAAATTATTTAAATTATTTAAATTTTTATTATAATTTATTAATTTTTATTATATTTAATTAACTTTTTATTTTGATAAAAAATTAATATCATAAATATTTTTATCAATTAAAATAAAATTTTATCTGACATTAATAAAATAAATTAAAATTTAATATGTAACATAATTAAAAAATATAAAAATAAAATAAAATATTTTTATTTCTTTATTTTTTCTTTAAAATTTTTTAAAAATTTAATCGATTATAATTTAAAAATTATTTAATTAAATCTTATCATATGATTAAATTTTGTTCATTTAATAAATTAATTGAATCAAAATAAAAATAAAATTTAATTAACTATAATAAAATTTTAGATAATTATTAAATTATAATTCATGAATATTTTTACTCTTTTTTACTTTGCTTTTTACTTTATAAGAAAAAAACCAAAAACCCTTCCCTTTTAAAGCTTGTTTTCCTTTAATTCTTCTCTACCCCACACATTTTTTTTTTTTTTTATTTACAATAGATCAACTCATCCTTCTATTTTCTGTCTCTTTTCTTTCTTCTCCTTTCCATCTTCCCAAACGGTCCCTTCAAATGGTTGAGAGCTATGGCTAACTTCGTTCTTATTTGATCATCTGTTTCCTTTCTTCTTAGACCTCTTAACAAATTTTTTTCTTGGTTTTCTTTTCTGGGTTTATCCTGGATTTTGGTGACAATGAGTCTGCAAAATCTAAAAAATGATTTTAACTGCTATTCTGGCGTGGTTCAAGAGATGAAATTTTTAGCTCCTCCTGCTATTTTTCCTCATTCTACAGAGAGAGATACAACACTATCTCATATGGGGTTTCAGATTTCAAGCTCTTTAATGGAACAAAGCAATAAATGTTTGACATTTGAGCCATTAGAAAGCAGGGTCACTACGAGAGCTGTTGCTTCTGATGGAAAAGATGGATTTTTGGATGTTGAAAAAAAGGTACTGTCTTTGAATTTTGGTGGTGAAGAGGAACGTAATAAGAACTCCTGTTGTACTGGTGGTAGCAAAAATGGACACACTAAGCTTTGTGCTAGAGGTCATTGGAGAGAAGCTGAAGATGCTAAGCTAAAGGAGCTTGTAGCCCAACATGGTCCTCAAAATTGGAATTTGATAGCTGAACATCTTGAGGGAAGATCAGGTAACTCAAAATTTTATGTCAAACAAAAATGATCAACATTCTATGTAAGTCTTTTTGGTTTGGATTGATCTCCACTAGAAAAATGGAGAGTTTGTTTTATTTTCTCCTACATTTACAAGGGAAGATCTTACCAATGCTTTGCATCTGATTGGTTAAACCAAATTAAAGTTCCGTTTTGCTATCATTAGTTTTGTAAAAGTTTAATATTTTTGCTAAATGGATGTTGGTTTTTTTGTATGATTGTCAGGGAAGAGTTGTAGATTAAGATGGTTTAACCAGCTAGATCCAAGAATTAACAAGAAAGCTTTTACTGAGGAAGAAGAGGAGAGGCTCTTAGCTGCTCATAGATTGTATGGTAACAAATGGGCAATGATTGCTAGACTGTTTCCTGGCAGGACTGATAATGCAGTAAAGAACCATTGGCATGTGATCATGGCTAGGAAACATAGAGAGGAATCAAGCATTTATAGAAGGAGAAAGCCTTCTTCTTCTGCCACTCAGGCAGGATTAGATGTGACTGTTCAAAACAATGCCTGCAGTGATCAATCAACCATTTCTAGCAACATAGATGAATCTGCCTCTACTTGCACTGATCTATCCCTCACTCCTTTATCAGCTAAAGTACCCCCTGGATTTTTCAGCAGTTTTAGTCCAGTTCACCAAATGGGTATGTTTATTTTTCCTTTTTTTACCAACACTTTTGATGATTATTTGCTTTCCAAATATACAGTGCTTATATTTGTCATGGTGGATTGAATTTTTTTTTAATCATGATCTTATAATAATTTATTAAATAAATGCTTTGTAATTTTGTGTTTTGCAGGTTCAGTAGGTGAAAAAGTTGTGACCAGGGGAAATGGGGATTTTGACAAGTTTTTTGGCACCGGTAATGTATTTTACCAGCAAGGACCAATGGGAGTGGTTACGGGTGTGGACGAATCTGCTCAATCGTCAGATTCGAACTCAGAAGTTTCAGCAACCGAGTCAGTGGCCACAAATAGGACCAACCACTCCATGTCTGGGGAAAGTGCAAATGGAAATCAGAAGATCAACATGCCCTTCATTGATTTCCTTGGAGTAGGAGCTTCTTAAAGACGATTTGGGGGAGGGGGGTTGTTTTTGGTTAAAACTAAAGAGACTCAGCTGAAAACAGAAGAAACAAGAGCAAAACTTTTGTTGGGCAAAATTAGCCATGTGAAAGCTCTATCCAATGGGCAAAAATGTGATCTTCTGCAGTCATCATCTCTATGGTCTTGTATGTACAGTTTACTTCCATAAATGAAAAAAAAACCATAGTTTTTTTTTTAAATGAAAAAAAACGACGAGAGAGAAAGAGAGAGTTCTAAGCAGTTATGAGTTTAACAATACAATCAACTCAATTGAATGAATCTGCCCATCTTTCATGACTTCTCACAACCGTGTTTATCTTTGATTTGATTTCTTTGACTTACACTCTCCAATTCTCCTACCAATTAATACCATGAATTTTATTTTCTTTCTTTTCGTTTCTTTTCTTTTCCCTTTAGCCAGTCAATTTCCTGTCTGAGACAAGGCTAAGCCAGGACCACTCTGATGAAATATCAACAAAATTTCATGGTTACATCAAATGGGGTCTACAAATCTTGCATCAGTCTCCAAAGTTTCCATAATTTAAATCTTCCTGGTTGTTAAATGGTCAATTATAAAAATGTTATATATAATTTTATAAAGGTTGAATTCCTTAATCTATCAATAATAAATTTGAAAATAAGTGGTCAGGGAATAGCCTAATGTTTTTTCGGCTCTAACATGGTTGTTATGTAGTCAATTATGGGAAAGTTACGTAATCTTTTAAAAATTGAATACATTAATGCATAGATAATAAGAAAATATATTTGGCCGGAGCATATAAGTTTAATATATAGAAATTTAGGGTTGTTATCTAGTCGATTATAAGAATGTTTTAATTTTTTAAATGTGAATCAATACTAATTTATGGTAGAGAAATTTTGAAGGAGATTATAATTTAACGGTTTGTTCATGTTTGTTTCAATGATAAGTGCATATATTTTGATAAAACATGTGTTAAAAATCTATAAAAAAAAATTTAGAATACAATTGTAATTGAATTCGAAATTTAATTCAATTGATTTATATAATTATTTTTAAAATATGATATTTAACAATTTTAATTTTAATTTTTATACTTATATTTGTTTTTTTAATTTTCAAACAGCGATATCCTTTAAAAAAAAAATACCATTGCATATGTCAATGAAAAAAGAAATCTAACTCTCGTTTATGGAAATAAAATTGAACATATGTCTTAATTTATAATGGAGAAAATTATGTTTCTCTTAAGATTTTTCTAAGCACTTACAATTTAAAAAAAAAAGATTTAATTTTTAACATAATTTTCAACTATTTTTTATTATGTTTTGGGAAATATTTTCTACATCAAACAAAAAAAAAAAGCAATATTTTTGCATTTGAGCAACTTACTCTTCACATCGTATATTTGATTTACGAAATTCTGTACATTGGGCTAAGAAGCTATTGGGTTTGGATATGGACATTTTTATAATGGGGTAGTTTTAGAGGCAAAAGGTGCAGAACTAATGAGTAAATACATGAATTCAGGCCCAATAAAATAGAAATGTTGCTGGTCCATCCAATAATCTTCATGCATCTAAAATAGGCTTTAACCCAGTGGGCTCTCACTCTTTGAAGCAAGGGCTTCCCAAAACCGATCTTTAAGAAAAAAAAAAAAACTTGACGAGGATTTTTAATCAAATAAAAAAGTAAAGGATCCAACCAAGATAAACAGTACCTGCGACAGGTGACGCCTTAGCAAAATAATTATGTTGAAGAAAACAGATGTAGATTGCAATAGAATGGTAATATTTTCTTAGAATAGCCAAAAAAATTATCTGATTTGAACTTAAATCATAACTTATTTGGTTAATTTAATTATTTTTAAAAAATAACATCTAATAAATTTAAAATTTAAATCGTAATACCTATAATCTCTTCTTTTATTCTCAGATTATGACTTTTTATGTATAAAAAAATTTACCCTATCTTTCATTTGTCACTTACATGTAGAGGAATTTGAGTTGGAATGAAATTTACATGCTGATTAGGGTTTCTTTGACCACCAACTTGTGAGGCATACAAAGATAGAGTAGCCAAGAAAACTCAAAATGAAATTCAAAACTCCTAATCCCCCTCTCCAAATTCCAAGCCAACATGCCATTTGTGGTAGGAAGAGATTCTGTAAATTCTCATAGATAGTTATATGCTTATAAGTATTTAATTGTGAATCACATTTGAATCCACAAATATATTTCAACGATTAAATGACATCTTCCCTCATAGCTACATCGGTAATTATGATTTCAAAGGCGATCGAAAGCAAGATAATTGGTTGAAGATGTATAGACTAAAAATGTATAGTTGAACTTGTGGATGATAAATTGATCTCAAAGGTATGTGTGAATTGTGATTATGATGACAGCCCACAAAAGCTCTTCAATGGGACAAGTTATAGGAAACTGCATCAAAGTTTCTAGAGTGCAAGAACAATAAATCATGTGTTAGGCAACTTAACTAATTAGGTATAGGTTAACTAAATTTATGATATCGTTTCAAATACTTTTTTTTAAAAAAATTGTACTGCACGTTAATTGATCTACCATGTGCATGACTTGATTATCATATTCTATGGGAGAATAAAAGGATATGTTGCCTATGCTACAACCGATGAATGACAAAATCAGATTAGATAGCCCATTTTTTTTCTTGTTTTCTTCATTGTTCCTTGGGAAACAAAGCACAAATTTTCATTTTCTGAGTAATTAATTTAGTTTATCTTTTTTTGTATACATATTTAAACTTTTAAAAAACAAAATCTTAGTTGTAAAAATTAATAACGAAATGAAAAGATTTCGAGTGGATTTGAAGGTTTTTTTTTTTTTTTATAAAAAAAGTCACAATTGGTTGGGTGAAAGAATAGATTGCAATTGTCAAAATTTAAACTTCATTAGATATGATTTTTTAAAATAATTGTATAAATTAACTGAATTTAATGTCAAATTTGAAAAATATTATCTTTAAAAAAATGTTGAATGAAACCAAATTAAAGTAACCCCAAAAAGATTAAAATTGAAAGACTAATCATAGAACAAAGTTGAGTCCACTTAATCTTCACAAACATCTAGAAAAACTTGAGAAAAGGGAGGAACCCATTTGCTCCCCTTTCAAATGATGAGCATGATTCTAATTTACAAATTACAAACTCCTTTGGATTCCCCAATGTAAGTTGACTATTTGTTTCCTGGTCAGCAAAATAAGAAATTATATTTACACAGAATCTAAACAACAAAGGCAAAACTTCGGGGGAAAAAAACAACAAAGGCAAAATTTTGATAATTCACATGCCAGCCAATAAAAATTTGTAACTTGGGAATTTTCACATGGCGCATATCTCAGTAAATGTGCCATATGTTTCTCAGAATATTATGAAAAAAATAAATTTATGATAACAAACATTCGTCTGCTTCAGATTGGTTATATTGGTCGGTGTTGAAGGCCAAGTTGTTTGAATTAATCATTTATTTTCTTTGGATTTTGAGACTTCCCTTCAATGGGAGAATCCACGTACTGTCCATGCAATATCTTTTCAACAACTTGTAAAAATATTGGAAAAAAAAAATTGGTTTCTAAGTTAAAGGGTACTTTCAGGGAAACTGTCTTTTGGTTCCTTCGTGGAATGTAGCAGCTGCCATTGTTGTTATTATTATTAGCAAGCAACCACTTAGTTATAATATATAGTTTTATTTTAGAGTTTAAGATAAATTTCTATATTGGAATACTAAGCTGTTTTGTAATGATGCTTAGAGTAATTATTATTGGGTTAAAAGACTCCCATCCAATCACACCAGCAGAAGCAAAATCAAACAATAAATCAAACATACAAGAGACAAGAATTTAACGTGATTCGGTCCAATCAACTTACGTTCACGGATGAGAAACAAAATCCACTAGTTGTGAGAATTACAAACATACTTCAAATCATCAACCTCATTCAACAATCAATATTCATAAGACACTCTCAATTTCCTCTAGTCCTATGAAGTATTCTCAATCCAAATAAACACAAGCTCAAACCCTTGTGCATAATTTCAACATAACCAAACACATACTCATATGCTCTCATATATCATACCTATGTGGACTCTTTCAGTTTCCTCTAGTCCATTTACAAACAAACATACACACCCATAAGACTTAGAGGCCCAATACTCCTATGGGTGTCTATCTCACAAAATCTTACAACTCTCTTACATTTTTTTCTCATCCCTAACCCTGTAGAGACTTCACCTATTTATAACCATACAAACTTACCCATTAAGAATTAATTTCCTCTTAGAATTCTTCTTCTGTAAGTCAAACTTGCATATTAAGAATCTATTTTCTTTTAGAATTTTTTTTTTGCAAGTCAAACTTACCTATTAAGAATTCTTTTTCTCTTAAAATTCTTCTTTTACAAGTCTTTTTGTCTATCAAAAATAATATCTGACAAATCCCAAATAAATTTTTGATGAGATTTGAGTCATTATTCCCAATAATCTTCACCTTGACTCAAATTTCATAAATCATCTGTCTTCATGTTAGACATACTTGGCTCCACCTGCAATAAAAGTCTCACAACCATATTCTTTTGTGTGTCTTCATGCAAACCAATCATCAATCTTCAAAACTTGAACTCAAATTCTTTTCTTGAATCAAGCTCTTCTGGACTTGCTTTTTCCCATAGCTTGAACTATGCTCTTCCCACATCTCGAACCTTCAGCTCTTTACATGTCTTGAATCTTCAGCTCTTTTCACATTTCAAACCTTTGACTCTTCTTACGTTTTAAACCTTCAGCTTTGATACCACTTGTTGGGAAACACTAGAGCTCTGATACCATTTGTTGGGCTAAAAGCCTCTAATCCAATCACACCAAAGGAAGTAAAATCAAACAATAAATAAACATACAAGAGATAATAATTTAACATGGTTCGATCCAATCAACCTACGTTCACGGATGAGGAACAAGATTCACTAGTTGTAGAGAATTACAAACATACATCAAATCATCAACCTCACTCAACAATCAATACTCATAAAACATTTTCAATCTCCTCTAGTCCTATAAAGTATTCTCAACCCAAACAAACCCAAACCCTTGTGCACCCTTTCAACATAACTAAACACATACCTAGTCTATATATCATACCTATGTGAACCTTCTCAGTCTCCTCTAGTCTACTTACAAACAAACATATACACTCATAAGACGTAAAACAAATACCCATATGCTTCCATATATCATACATATGTGGACCTTCTCAGTCTCATCTAGTCTACTTACAAACAAACATATACACTCATAAGACGTAGAGCCCCAATAATCTTATGGGATGTCTATCTCACAAAATCTTACAACTCTCTTACATCTTTTTCTCATCCCTAATCCTGTAAAGACTTCACTTATTTATAACCATATAAACTTACCCATTAAGAATCCCTTAGAACTCTCTTACATCTTTTTCTCATCTCTAACCCTATAGAGACTTCACCTATTTATAACCATACAAACTTGCTCATTAAAAATCCCTTTACTCTCAGAATTCTTCTTCTGTAAGTCAAACTTGCCTATTAAGAATCATTTTTCTTTTAGAATTTTTCTCTTGCAAGTCAAACTTATCTATTAAGAATCATTTTTCTCTTAAAATTTTTCTTTTACAAGTCTTCTTATTCATCAAATAATATCTGACAAATCCCAAACAAATTTCTAACAAATCCCAAACAAATCTTTTATGAGATTCGAGTCATTATTCTCAACAATTATGTTATGAATTTTAAATTTGTTAAATATCATCTTTTAAAAATCATTGTATGAATCAATAAAACTAAATCTTATGTTCAAACTATATATTTTTTCAGTAGATAACTATGCTGTTTATTTATTGCATGTTGTCTAACTTTTACATCAGTTTCTTTGTTTTGAAAATAATTTGTATAGAAAAACCGAAAAGAAAGAAAAAAAAGATTAAAATGCCACAACTTCAAATTTAAGCTTCTTAAAAGAGATTCAATTAATAAGAAATTTAATTTTATTCTCAACAAAAAAAAAGAGAAAGCAAAACAGGCTTGAGAACATATTCTTTCGAGAGAATCTTTTAGGTTAGTACAGCAAAAGGAAAACCAATGTATACAAGTTTTCACTGTAAAATATATGGAGTTGTGAATTCCATAGGTTAAATTCATCTATTTGAGTAGCTAAAGAAAGTAGAATATTGAAATCTGGGGATTTGAAGGAATCCAGAATTCTATAAGGCTCAAAATTAGGAACTTGAACCTCTTATAAAAAAGGGAACAACCGCTGAGGCTAAACCTTGGGTGTTAGATTTCATTTAATTTGTTGATTTTGTTTTATTTGGGGAAAAAAATTCAATTCTTCAATTATCCTAATAAGTTTCAATGCCATTTTGGTTAAAGTTTACTCTATCGGCCAAAATAAATTAGTTAAATGGATGTAAATTTTGATTAAAATGAGGTTATGTTGACCATTCTTTGACAAATTGATCTGCCGTAATTCCTTTTTAATCAAATGAAAGAATCTTTCAAGTAGAAAACATATGTAAGACATTTTAAGCAGCAAAGGAAGGACCGATGGAATGTAAAAGACAGTTTGGAATCATTTGTGTCCACCCACCAACCATTGACATGCTCCAAAGTTTTTCCTCTCAAGCTCCATATATTAGTCTAACAGTTTAAGGCATTCGCTCGAGTGATTGGGACGATCGAATAAATCTTAATACAAGAAAGAAAACCAACCCTTTAATGTTGTCATTGCCAATTGGTATCAAAGCAATTGCATGAAGGAAAAATGGAAAATTGAAGCCCCCAATTTTCAGCCTTGAATGCCTATAAACCAGCGGATTTCTATTTGAAACATGGGAACAGCCAAATATACATGGTAAAACCATGGCTGGAAACCAGATGTAAAGCAGTACTAGTACTGGGATCAAGATCACTAATTGTATGATCCTGATATAGGAGGTAACATAGTATGCAGCATAAAATTATGACTTACATAAATATGTATCCTGTGCTTTCATTACCCTCTTGGGTTGTAGAAAAGGTTTCTGTAGATTTATGTAATATTGAGGTTGAGTGAGTTCCTATAAAACAAGAGATAATAAAAAGGAAAGAAATCAAGGAGATATAAATAAGCAAAAATAGGTAAGGAAACTTGGGTCTTGTTGCATAGTTGCATATCATCACAAAATACTGGCAGCTCCCACTAGTTTGCTTGCAACTGTAATTCCTCTTTAAGTTGTTTTGGAAACCTGTAATCAATTTTTTTATACAGCTGAATGAGATGTAATTGATAAATTATGTACCTTATACTATGTTTGGACAGAAGTAAAATGTAGGGAAAAAAAGAACGAAAGGAAGCTAGAAAAGTTACTTTCCATTGTATTTAGTATGAAAGATGAAAAATATAAGGAGAAGTTAAGTTTAAAATTATAAATAAAATTGTTAATTTAAATTAAATAAATGTTTTCTCATAACATTTAAAAATATTGAATTTGAAAAAAAATTACAAATCCAATCATTTTTTTCTTTTCCTATTTCTCTCCTACCATGCGAGAAAAAAAAAGAAAAGAAAATAATTTTTCTTCCAACCTCTTTCGTTCCTCTTTCACATCTACCAAACACCGTATTAAGGTCAAAAGATAAGTTGATTCGAACTAATTTGATGCTACTTTATGAGCATAAGTATTAAATTAAAAAATTAAGTGTAGAAACCTAACATAAAAACAATTAATTAAGGGTACGGTACATATCTTTAAATTTTATAAACTTAAAGATTGTGTGCGCCGTGTGAGAATTTTAGACGAATTCCAAAAAATTCCCTCACCCCACTTTAAACAAAAAATTTTTATGTACTTTGCCTTGAAAAGATCTTATAAGAAAGTACATAAAAAAATTTAACTTGAGAAAGAAATATTTTGATTTATACTACTAGGATATAATATTGGAATCAAAATCTCTGTATTGCCAAAGCAAATTTCCAAATGTAGAGGGATTTTTTCTGAGAGAGGGAGAGGTAGTGTTCCATACAAGTAAGACGGATGTGCCGGTGAGACGATGAAAAAGAAGAACGGAGCGGATGAAAAGAAATGTGAATTCAAAGTTATTGAAAAACATAGAATTTTACGGCAACAGTCAGCTCTAAAATTCTTGGTGGCTAGCCATAGAGCTTGGCACATAGTTGTCTCCCAAATGTACTTACAAGGAAATAGCTTTCGCCATGCTGCAAGCTCTGAAGTAAGAAGCCAAACTCATTCATGGGGACAGGCACACCCGAGGAATGGACCAACACTACCTCTTCACCAAACATGGCTTTCATGTCAAGTGGTCCTCTTGGAACTTCTGTTGGTACTCCATTGATGAAGACTGTGATGAATCCTGAAAAACAGCTAAAAGAATTAATTACAAGGGAATTCATGAGTTAGTTTAATAATTAACTTTATTTCCTAGCTATTAGGATAACATTTCTCCATTTTGCAACTGCAAGATTTGCAGCTTTTAAGTCAGTTGCAGAATTTCAGCACTTAATAGCAGCAGAAATTCTGAAAAACCGGTGTAATAGCAGCCTATTCTCAAAATATAATGCTAGCTTTTAGGTCTAAAGACTTCGTAAAGCAGAGAATCTTTAAGAAAACTTCAGAAAAATTAAAGCGCTTGGCTTAGGTTCTTTAAGTTTCTTTCAATCATTAGTTCCTCCTGTATAAAATTGATTTCTCTTGAAAACACATAAAAATTTCTTGAATAAGCCAAGATAAAGCTTGAATATGAAAAAAATAATGCAGTATATTTACGGGGTATAGTGCAACTCTATTTTCAAACAATAAATACACTGTTCCATCACAAGAAAGTTACTGTTATAGATACTTTATTCTCTGTCATTTTCAATTTAAAACAAAACCCTGATTTTTAAATTCATGAATTTAAAACAAAAATTTGGGCGAAGAAAGTATAGTTTTGAAGTGGATGACCATAATCCACAGTCCTCCAACATGAAAATTAATTTCATAAATTGCATGAAAGAAATTGAGATTCCAAACAAAATGTTAGTAAAAGAAGGAATTAATCAACTCTATCTGCCATGCAATTACCAGACTGGTAGTGCAAATTCGAAGTTTCTGATGGGCACAAAACTGATGTTACACTGGAGCTTTGCCCAATTTCTTGAAACCCCATATGAGGAGACATTGGGTGTAGATTTTCCATTCCATCATCAACCATGACACCACAAGAAGAGGAACCAACGAGGAAAGGAGGAGAAGAAGCTACATTAGAAGGAGAATTTGCAAACCCCATAGCAGGCGCGCTGCTGCTATTTTCATGCTGAATTGCACCACCACAACCACCACCACCAATTACTTGTGCTTGGTTTCTTTGTTCTCCTGCAAGGCTAGCTTGCAGCTGTCGTTGTCGGCGGCGAGACCTTGAACGTCTATTTTGGAACCAGTAGAAGACATTAGCATCGCCAACAGAACCAAATTTCTCAAGCAGCTTTCTTATTCTCACAGTTTCATCTTTAGGAGGGTTTACCATGCCACTATTAAAGATGGACTCAAGTATGAGGATTTGTTCCGGCTTTGGAGTCCACCTTGATCTGACTGGTTCACTCCTCTCTGAACCATGGATCGGACTATTTGGCCCTGGAGCTTGATCTTCCATTACTAAGAAGGAAAAAAAAAAGAAATGGTCTTGAAGCTGAAACCTAGGTTTAAAATATAGGGTGAAAAACAAAGCACATGAACACGCAGTCAATAATACATTAGAGAGAGTGAATTTATATAAATATCTTGATGGAATGTTACTTTCTAAAGTTACCAAATTACCCTTTTGTTGCTTGCACCTCTTAGAGTTGAAATTACTTCATTGCCTGTCAAAGCTAATTTATCAAATTAAGTGTTCCATCTTCTTGCTCTTGCTACTCATCGACCGACTCAAGCTAGTTTCCTTGGTTTTAGGATTTTGCATCCTTTTATTCAAACTTGACAAAAGGTGAAAAGCATACTTTTTGGTGTCTTTTAGACTTTAATCTATTAAAATATCATTTTAGATCAGCACCGAAACATAATTAGCTAGCAGACTAGCAGCCAAGAGAATGCCAATTGATGTGCAGGATTTTTACATTATACTTAATTTATATATCTATTTTTGTATATGGTATGGTTATTATTGCATTTATTCTGTTAATTACATAATCCTTTGACATAAGTTCAAATTTGCCACACCATAAAAATTTGACCATTTTCAAAGATTAGATGAGCCATTTAAATATTAATAGACATAAAAACGATGCAAATATTACAGAAAATAAAAAAAATAAATGCATGGAAAAACCCAAAAAAGAGTGGTCAAAATGGTAAAGGAAACAAGAAAGAAAGAGGATGTGAAAGGGTAGAAGAAGAAAAGATAGGGTTTCGGCTGTATGGCAAGTGCATGTGAAGGAATGCATGGAAAGCTGGATCAATGTAAAGGGAAGAGACAACTTATTATTATTATTGTTTTTCATAATAATAAAATCTAAAAGTGACGGCAAAAATAAAGTAAAATATATAGAAAATTCCAAAGTGATGGTCAAAAAATAGCGGAATAATTTATCAACGAAGGGAGTCTGAACTCTGACATGAAGCTAACGTGGATTACAGAGGCACTGCCATCTTCTCTCAGAACTTTTTATATTAAACGAGAGGAGGAAAATAGGTCACTAAGGTTGGCTTAAACTTCGAACACTTTGTCTACTCTCTCTCTCTCTCTCTCTCTCTCTCTCTCTCTCTCTCTCTGTATTTTACATATATTATATTCATATAGAGAGTATAAAACAGGAACCGACTCTGGGTTTTTCAGTCTCTGTTTTTCTTCTTTTTCCTTAGTTTCTAAGGATTTGTATCGTGTAGATGCATGCTGGTCTAGTTTCTATTTGATAAGGGTATCGGTTTAACAGTTTTGTAATTTATTAATAGAATACTGAACAAACTCAACCATAAAAAAAAAATTTTTAAAAAAAGAAAAAGGTGATAGAACGGTGCTTTGTTTTGTCTTTCTTTACATTTATTTCATGACTCAAAGCTAGCTACATGTATTGTATATTGTAAAATGATGTAGCTACTCACATGAATTAATTGTGATCCTAAAGAGAGGAGTTTTATTTATTTTGTCAATCAAGTTTTGATTTAAAAAATACTTTCAAAATAAAATCTTAACTTGATGCATGCATGATCAATATTGAAAAATATAAGCTCAGACTTAAAATTATTCGAGAAAGAAATTAAGATTAAACAAAATTTCAAGATTGATTCTCCTCGCTATTTAAAAAAAAAATGATGCAATTATTAGAATAAAAATATAGTATATGATTCATTTTATATTAAAAAGGTGACGGAATAGTGCATGAGTTTTTGGTTCAATGGTAATTAATGAAATGCATGTATTCTTGTGCTTAAAGAGACAGTTTAAATCTTTTTTCTTAAATTTTTTTTAAAGACAAGGGTTGAAATAGAAAATAGTGGACCGAGCATATATATCAAGAGATCATGAGTGTATTTATATTTTTTGCAACCCTTAATAGATTGAGTTTGAATGAAAAATGGTAAAAAGGAAATTTGCATTATGATTTTTCTTAAAAAAGAAAAAAAAAACAACTAAATTGTAAAGTATAAACATTTTTCCTGTTTTTCAAATTTTAATTTTGTTATATACATTAAAAATAATCATATTATTTTAAAAATGATATTGGCATAACATTGTGGTCACCTTAATGTTTATATCAATGATGATTAATAGCAAATTCATTCAATAATATATAAATAAATTTAAAATTTAATTCAATTGATTCATTTAGTTACCATGAAATTAAAATCTTAATACATGCAATCTCTTTCTTTATTCTTATGCTGCTAATTTTTTTGTACAATTTATACATATATCCTTTCAAATAACTTTCAAAGTTTCCAATTTCCAAGCTTCAACTTCAAATTTCTTGTGGGATTGAGAGTTGAGGTTTATAGAATTCTTCAGTTCAAATTCAATGAGTTTTCACATGTACAGAAATATCATTGCTAACTGTTTTTGGAGATTTTTATTTCTTTGGTTTTTCAATTGGCCTTCTTCCCCGTTCTCTTCCCTTATCCCTCCACCCTCTTCCTTTAGATTTCTTTCTCTCTCTTATTTTTCTTTGACAAGCTTTTTCCAATGTACCCACCATAACTTGTTTACAACTTTAGACACCAGCCAACCAAAAAAGCCTCATTTTTTTATTAAAAAAAAAAAAAACACATACCAGAAGTCTTAATTGGCTGCCAAATGACAGCCAACCGGGGCTTTAATTGACACTTTAATTAAAAAAATATATAAAAACTGAGTTTTAGTACAATGTTATTGATAACAAGATGGCAGGTGGATTTATATTGGCGTAATGATGTGATTAAAACAGGTAATTTAAGATTTTTATACATTTCAAAAAATTTTCTTTATTGCTAGAATAAAATAAATTATGAAAATATGGATTTCTTCTACCTTTCTTTTTTTTTTTTATTGAAATATATCAAGCCTAAAAATTACCTGAAATTCACAAAAAAAAAAAGAAAATTTCTCCATTTTCATTTATTATTAATCTATCACTCTTGCTCAAGTATACTCCGCAACCATATATTATAATATTTTTATATGTAATTTTAAAAAAATATTTGAATTTGAGATATTTATCTTTAAAAAATTATATATATTTTTGCATAAAAAATATGATTTAGAAGTAGAGAAAATGATTACAAATATTAATATTAAAATTCTAGATTTATTAAATGTCATATTTTTAGTGATGGATTCGTAACTTTTTCGAAAGTGATCATTTATCAATTTTATTGACAAAAAAAATATTTATAAGAAATTTTAAAAGCGTGAAAAATATTTTTCTTTAAATTTGATTTATATTTCAAATTTTGAGATATTTATGGACATAGTTTCTATACATGTGGATCCACCTCAATACTTCTTAATGATAACTTAGATAAGTTTCAACATATATATATATATACATATATGATTAAGGATTTTTTAAAAATTGGATATGATTAAGTTATAAATAAGGACATGAAATTTATCCCCAAAAAAAAAAGGACACAAGAAAACTTAAAAAGAAAAAGGAAACTAATTTGGTGAAACGCACAGAAACAGTGGGTAAAGTTGGAGGAAATCAAAGCTAGAACGCTCAATGCATGTGCCCCCAAAGCAGAACCAGATGTTGGTCGGTGTCCCCTAAAAATTATCTCCAAAAATTCTCTTTTAAAATTTTATCATACAAAAAGGAGAAACAAAGTACAAACAAGAATATAAAATTAATTATAAATAATATATAGTAGCGAGTTGCATGGAGGGATGATGTTGATACTTGTGTGCCCTCCAAAAGGTCTTCTAGGCTTTTGGACTTTATCTACAAATGGAAAACTGCCTACTCATTTAGCAGTGATAATGAAAGGAATCTTTACTGTGCTTTATATTTAAAATTTTAATATTTATTACGTGAAAAATATTAATAATTTATATATTTATATTATATTTTATATAAAAATTATATATCATAATTTATGTTAATATAAAAATATATAATTTATTTTTTATTTTATTAAAATATTGAATCGTATTTTTTTGTATTGTTTTTCTTAGTACTTAGTGCAACTATTACTTCAGTTTCTTTGCTCCTCCGTTGCTGCTGAACGTGACTGATGTGATCCAGCTGTTTTCATAATTTTTTTTTCTTTTTAACTCTTTGTCAATCTTTGAGAATATTGCTGTTATTTACTAAAAAAAAAAACATTAATTTACATTTTGTTTAGGGGATATTGGTCCAATTATATAGTTATTGAATTGATAGCATGCATGCAGAGAAAATTTGCTGCAGCTTGATTAATTGTGTGAAATTATTTTAATTTGAGTGGATTACATGTTGAAAATCTTAAGAAAATTTGTTTAGTTTTGAAAATTAGAGAGATTTAAAAATCACTCTCTTAATTAAAAGTGATTTTATTTTTATGCAAATATTTTATTTTTTTCAATGCCATTATTAATATTTTTTTAGCATTTGAAACTGTAAAAAATTTATTTTTGGTTATTAAAATTAAAATTTTAATATTTTATCAATAGTTCATCACGCGATTATCGGTAATATCAATATTTTTTATATATAATTAACGTAAATATCAATAATTATATATATGGTTTTAAGTGATTTATTTTTGACAAAATATTATTTATTTATACAAAAGAAAAACACTGTGCCAATGATCAATGGCCTAGCCAAGATTTCTATGTAGAGTGGACCAAGCCAAATATAGGTACACTTGCATATGCAAATACACAAGCACAAATACATACACATATAATAATAATAAAATTTTTCATAAAAAATTTTCACACTTTACAAATATATTTAATTGTACTTATTTTTTTCTTTAGGAGAAGAAAAGGTTTAAATTTTTATGTAACTTAAAAATAAATAATACTCTTAAAATTTTAAAAGGATTTAATAAATTGGAAATTTACTTGTAAAAATGAAAAATAATTATCTTATCTTAACTTGAAAGGACCATTTTTTTTGGAGGGGAGATATGTCTAAAAAATAAATTTATAGCATCAAATAAAATCAAGTAACTTCTAAAATTTAGGGGTCATGG